AAAAAAGGTTGGGGACCGCTGGGATAAGGCACAGTTAGCACCAAGTTGCTGACTTAATTCTTGGTGTTTTCCTCTACATTTTATTAGGATAGAACTCATGAATTTTTGGATATTTGAAAGTTTCTGGGCTGTTTAAGTCACAGAGTATTAATGCAGAGAAACACAGGATACCCTGACATCTACAGCAGCATCAGCAGCTCAAGGCTGTGTTCATCTGTCATAAATCATCAAAAATGAATCAAAGTGGCATGTTTAAGATTAAAAGAATAAACCAAAAAACAAAACAAGTTGTGTTCAGTGCCTGTACAGGTTCTGAACTGATAAGAAACATCAAGTACAATCAAGCTCGAAGTGCACATGTATCTTACATTACCACATTAAACAGCTAAAGCAAACAAGTATATTCCAAAGGCATCATTCAGGTCAGATATTGACTGCTTTAGACAATCATTAGGTTAAAAAGAAAACTTTGAACACAGAGTGAAGCAGCAAACACAACCTATTCATGGATTGCTGTTAAAAAAAGACAACTGTGGCTCTTGAGGATATGAAATGGCATTTTATCAGACAAATGCCACTTAAACTGAAGCACACCAGTACATTAAAACACAGTTAAAGCAGAGACTGTGTTACAAGATGGCTTGAGGTTCTGTAGTTCTTAAGAAGTGCTGTAAATATTTCATTAAAAGCAAATGGAAAGATAAAGGTGAATAAATTGTGTATCACAGTAAAAATACAGTATTATTATACTACAATATCTGCATTACACATATTAACTGGTTTTTAAGAAGGGTAACATGCTTTTCTTTAATGTTTTACTTCATTCTATATTTTTGTCAACTCATGTTGACTTTTTATGTTTTGGAGAGAATGAAAGCTATAGAAAACAACAAAAATGACTTGATGGTTCTGCATTTATTTGTGTTTCAAATCAGTGCAGAACCACAAAAACGTCCACATAACAACAGAGCTACATACGGATTTCTTTTTGTGGTAGTACAGGCTAGTTCTAGGTGCTACCTTCTTGTTTAAAAATCAATTTTACAATCACGATTTTGTTGAAAGCAAGCCACTTCAACAACCTTCAACAAAGCACAGTACTTTGAAAAATATGTAAGAAAACCGTTTGTGGAAACAAACTTGTTTCTCCACCTGAGGCAAAAACACACCGTTGACTACAGCGGATGATGTGTGACCAAATGCCTGAACCTAAGATCAGTGGAGCATTAGGAGGAGCAAATAGTGAATGGAAGTAAACTGGTTAAAAAAGCTCAACCCAAAACACAACATGCAAGTTAAATGATGCTAGTTATTGTGAAACTGTTAAAGTGTTAAGCAGTCAGTTATTCTTGTAGTTAATGTTTCTAGGAAGAACACTACCCAGGCTACTTTTGTGCTTACAACTGACTTATGCTGTGTTACTGCTATTGCACAACAATGTTGCTGTTGCTGACAACACGTTTCAATAGGTTCACACTTCTAACTAGGCAATGTGTCATCAATGACAGTAGCTCATAATTGAAAATACCCGTCTTTTATTAACACTCATAAATGGTGATTGTTGTTCAGTATTTTTTTTGTTTATGTATTGCAATTTTTCTTGCAATACCATAATATAGTCTTGAGGCTTTATTTTCTCACCCCTAATGAGAGTTTATCCTACAGAATTTCATTGTCTTCGTAATCGCGACAGCTACAGAAGATTAAAAAGCCTTCACACTGATTGACATCTTAAATTATACGTGATACACTTTCATGTCTCTTGCTTTACACAGCTAAGCTAACCTTTGATGTCTGAATCTAATATTCATTTTCATCTTGTCTGCATTTGAAACTGATAATAGCTGCTTGGCAAAGGAAATGTAATTAAGGTAATTAGTGGAATTACTTTTGAGTGACGCCCTTTACGTATAGTGTTCAATTTGTCTGATCCATCTAAAGTTAATTTGAAATTTGATCTATTGACTTAACCCGCAACAGTTTTATCAGTTTAAAAGTGGAGTACATTTACTATAGATAGCTTAATGTTAGGGAGTGCGTGCCAGTAAGTGGCACTGCTGGATGACTGAGCATTTGGAGCAATAAGGGAGACACAGAAAGAAGTATAGCTAAAGGTATTTTTATCAGTCTAGACATAACAGTGTTGGAAAGATTTACAGAACGAGTTTGCTCATACAATCATATAGGTCAAAGGCAAAGCAAATCAATTATGAGAAAGCAAGAGGACAAGAAATGTGTGCTGTATAAAGGGAAAATGTTCATCATTTCTGGATTTGGTATGAGAGGGAATGACTCACCTCTTTCACTGTGAAACTTCTTGCATGTTTTCACAGCAACAAATATATCTTCTTTATTTACAGGCTCCCCCTTTGATAAAAATAGGAGACATGAGTCAAAGACAAAAGCACACATATCACATATAAGTAAACCTGAAGCTCGACATGTATTGCAGCTAAATAGCTGAAAGACTATATTAAATGTCCAAGTGATTAGTGGGAGTTCATATCTTCAAAGTGAAATTAGAATTGGATTTTTTTCTTTCATATGGTCTAAGGTCATTTGTCCTTCTAGTTGCCTTAGGTTCTCCTTTTGAAACTAAAGACAGACAGTATTTGATAACCGTGCCGCATATTTGAAGGGATGCAGGAATGAATTCAGTTTTCATTTGAAGCATCTGTAGTCTCGGAAATGAAAAAACAACAACAAATCAACAAAAAAAACACACATGATGTGAGAGACAGAAAGCAATGAAAGAAAAACGAACATCTAAATGCAATTTGGCAATTTCCTTCTCAAAAACAATTCACTAAATCACCTTCAGACAGAGTGCATTAAAAATGTATGCCACATTAAAACATCATCAGCAGCTGAACAAACTGTTACTTTTTCAACAATATTAATGAAACAAAATGCTACGCAATGTAAAGATCTCTTGTGCCGTGAAGCCTGAGCTACAAATACAAACTAAAAGACACACAAGGTACATTTAAATATTAACGGAGAAAAGAGATTCTTTGCTTTTTTACGTAATGCATAAAATGTCAGAAACGAGTCAGAAATGCTCGTCACAATCTAAATCTAGAGCTAAAAGTGGCTTCAAACGGATTTTGAGCGGTCCAAAACATAACTTATAAAATGCAGACACACATACACAAAAAAGGAAAAAAAAACAGATCTCAAGGATGCTAAGATTTTGTTTATTCTGGGTCTCACGCCAGAATAACCAAGGCTTTGTTGTTATTCGTTGGCCTGTCTTACTAATTTTTTTGAAAATGACTGTTGTAGGGTGGGAATTTGAACAATCTTCTGCCCTGAAATGTTTAGCATTTTGATAGAAACCGCTCTACAATAAGTTTAGTTATTGCATAAAATAAAAACAACAGGCTTTGCTGTCATTGCCACTTTGGTTGTAATCATTTTGCCCTCTTAAATCTGCCTCTTGAGGCTCCTGATTCTTTTGTCGACGCAGCAGCCGAGTGCTGCTCTTAAGCCACTTGCCAATTTGTCTCACAACTGTTTCGTTCACTGTCCGGTTACGATACATCCCCTCCTGTTCTGTCTGAATGGAAACTTCTCCCTGAATACTTATTAAACCTGTGACCTTCATGTTTCTCTGCCGGCTGCTTGGCTTGTTGTCCTGTTTTCTGTTTAAATTAATGTCGTTTTATGAGGATAGAAGTTCCGTGGAGAGGGAGGTAATAACCACATGAATATAAATCTGACAGTTTGCACTGCAGCAAACATGTACTAGACTCAAGACCACAAATGCACATACACTATGTGATTTGAATAACAAATGAAAAGATCAGATTCAATTTTTGTTTTTTCTGTCAAAACCAGAAGGGAAAATCATGAAAAATTAAAATGGAAAAACTCAGAAATGGGACACTCTCAGCAGCAAGCTCTGGCATCTCAAATTCAACTCGCCTCACCTTCTCCACAAAATTCGAGTCGCATCCATCCCAAACAATCACTTCTTACTAGTATTAGTGATCAGTTTATGGTGTGCGTGGAACCAACTGCTGCAGGCTAAAGAATATCACAGCCTTCTAATAAGTTCACAAACCAAACTTCTCTCAGCTTGAGCAAACATCATACACAGGAGATCCTGTGGAGAATTTTGCTTAGAATTCAGCACAGCATAGTCAGTTACAGCAAATCTAACCAACACAAAAAAATCTACCCCAGCAAGTATGATTAAGCTTCAGTAGGAATCCTACTGACCTTACTTATATTCTGACCGAATCAATTTTTTTTTTCCCATTAGTTACACCCACTCACTGGCTCCCACTCAGATACAACAAAAAATAAAAAAAATGTCCTAATGGAAGCTTATAAAGAAAACTAAAACTGCTTTCGTGTTTTGCATGTTTCCCCAGTGCAAAATTTAGACGGTAGAAATATCTGCTACAGATTCATGACATAATAAATGTGCGTGACGATTTAAGTTTCAATGACAAATACAGCAAATATTCAAATATAATGCAAGCGTTCAGGTTAAGACACAGAGCAATGTGTGAGCTTGAAAAGAGGCATTGCATTGCGATGTTTGACATTTGACATTAAATACATAGAAAAATATTTAGATATAAAAAAAAAGGATGTTGCTTCGCATTTGGCTGATATCTAAATTAACCTCTTAAGCCCCAACGCCCCCTGATACGGGGGCAAAAAGCAGTAGATCAGGTAGGCTTGGGGCTTAAGAGGTTAATTTGGCAAAACAAATGAAAGACTTCCCTCTTTTCTGGTTGCACAGTATGTGGTATAAAAGCAGTACTTCACCGTGAAATGCCAGCGTGGCTCGGATTCAACCTTGGGCAACAGGGCCATCATACATCATTACATGACTGCCAATAGCTCACAGTGAACCATCCTCTGTTTTGTGCTGTCATTTAATTTTGCTCCCTTTTCATTTCCTGGGAATTGAGGACAATCAAACTGATCCAAATACAGAGCAGATACTCACACACAGTGGAGGCTTTTTGCTCACAGTGGTTGCACAGTGGCTGGCCTGGGGAGAGTCCTCTGGCACAGTACACAGCTCAGGAACTGCAGTGAGATGTGGACCCTTCCCATTGTCCCAGATATACAAGGCAACCTGAAAAAATCCAGAATCATGTGGTTAAGCTTATGAGTTAAGGACAGAATGCAATCCTTAAGACATTAATGACTGATTAAAAACATAAACATGTGCTGCTTTTTGTATTATTATTATTGTTGTATTATTTTATATTATAATAAAAAGAACAGTTTAGAAAATTCCAGGAGCATATTCACTATTTAAGCCGAATAACAAAAAAGATTAAGAAGAGGAGAGATTAGAGAGAGACTTGAGAACTGGTGAGTATTACTGCATTTCTTCCTGAAGAAGAAAATCTGGGTTTCAAGTTAAATATTCTGCATGGAGAGGACAGAGATGTTACAGAGTAAGAATGTGTCATGAGATGCGACAGCTAGTGCTGTCTGGAACTGTCTAACGTGGCAGAAAAATACAGAAACTGTAAACTTGCCAGCAATGAACTGCTGCAATTCATGCAACATATTACATGTACAGTAATATTTAAAGCACACATTTCATTAAACAAAAAAAAAAGAAAACTCAGAATTCTATATTTTTTTATATAAGGTAGGTAGAAGGTGTAATATTTCTACTCAACTGAAAGAGATCTAACGGCACCACCTTTTTTCAGACTGAGCCAGATAAGTCTGATGTTCTGTTTACTCAACAAAATCCCTAGACGCCTCTCTGGCTGAATTTCAGTGATAAAAAAAATAAGAGCCTCAATACAGCACCATGACAATTCTCCAAAGTAATGAGATTTCACTTCAAGGTTAGATGAATTTCATGCCTTGCTCTTTTTGCGCAAATAAATTATAATGGGCTGGCATTGACTTGAGAGTGAAAAAAGCTGTTAGAAAATGGTTGCAAACCAGTAGGCTTGTGATCTCACTCCATGCAAAACCGCGTGACTTGCATAGTATCTTACCTCATGTTTAAGGTCAATAGTGAAGTCAGATTTAAGTGGCTCCTCTTTCACTTTCTTTGCAAGCCTAAAATAATAAATAAGATTTTGAAATCAAACACAGCAAATAAATAGTAAATACATAAATGTATGGGTAAATATACGTGATAGTGATGTAACCTTATTTTCTAAAGCCTGTATGAAGAATTCAGTTTTACAGATTTATTGCACAGACTCACCGAACAACTAGGGGGATGCTTAAGGCCCAAGAGGCAGCAAAGTCTGGATATTTAAAGATGGAGGGGTTCTCTGCAAAGGCATAATGATGGATGATGGTCGATTCCTCATCAAAGAGGGGCTTACCCAGAAACCACTCCTGATAAATAAGTTTAAGAGACACATTTCACTATGTCACACATAAAAGGTTTTTATTGTTTTTCCCCATTAAAATGCTGTGAAACATCATGAAAAGAAAAATTTGCACTTGTGGCCTAATTTAATTTTCACACTGCACTTGTCAGAAAATCTTTGAAATTATTTCCAGTGAATAAGTTTGTTGCTAACTGGGGAAATAATTCGATTTCTTCACTGAACGAAGTTCAAAGATGACAGATATTGTAGCTACAAAGGCTCTGATCATGGTTCTTGACATATCTGGTGGAAAAAGAATAATCTGACAGTTTTAGAAAATCCCCCTAGAGCTGAAGTAGATCGAGTTAAAAGGAAATGTCCAACAGTTCAGTAAACATATTCATGCTTCTGATGTAGAATTGTTAGGAAGATCAACGCCATCCTCTCATATCTGTACAGTAAAGTTAGCTGCCAGTTAGCTTATCTTAGCACCACCAGGCCTAAACCCCTGCTACAAATCCTGCCTTTCATAAAGGTTAAAAAAGTCTTCGTGAAGTTTCCACTTTTTGTGTTGTTTTATGCTCACTGTGAACATGACTTGTGTAAAGGTGTTTCTAATATGTTATTTGAACCATTAATATCAATAAGACAGAGCAAACTGGGACCAGAATGTCAATGCTGTAGTAGCTTAACCAACTCATGATCCATTATAAATCACAAGTTACTGTAATGTGTGAGAAATATAAAGAAAGTGACATATTTTGATTGGCTGTATTGCAAAATATAATGAGAATTAAAATTCACTAAGATATCAACGGGGCTCACAAACCCAGGCCACAAAGTAATCTGGTTGATCACCTGATAAAAGGATTCAAGAGTATTTTGACTGCATGGTGAGTAGTAACAATGGCCATAAAAAGCATGAAAATATGCATCAGAGTAGCACTGACTATATTTCTTCTATTAGCATAATGGAGATAAGAAAACCCCAACCCAAATACGCCTTTCCAATGTGGGAGTCAACCATTAGGACTACTCCATGATTATGACCAATAAGGAATACATGTGGTGGGCAACATGTGTGGCAAAGCAATATTTCAAGGAATAAATATAATTTGGTGTTTCTCTCGTTTTGTGCATGAAAAATGTATTTTATGTTAACAAGTTTCCTAAATGGTTAGTTCTGAATTTTATTCAGTACATCAGGAGTGGAAATGTGGTGAAATTTAAATTCTAAGTAGTGTTTGTGAAGGTTGTGCTGTGAAAATGGAAATCTCTAAAATGACAAATATGACATTCACCTTCAGCAGAGTATGTGTGAAAACCCACTAGGTCATTAAGTAAGCTTCACTAAAATTTGACCATCACTCAACAGTAGCAGGAGTAGCAGTCCTTGGGAATGGTAGATGGATGATAGAGTGGGTGCAGTCTGTGTAATTAAACATTTGCTTTTCTTTATTCAAGCCCAGCAACCAGTGGTCACAGGCTAGTGCACTCTTAGCGGCGGTCACAGCCCTGGATATTATCCCAGTTGCATCAGGAAGGCCATCCAGTATAAAATCTGTGGCAAATCAACATGCGGATCCAGCCACTGAGACAACCCCGGTAAAGACAACCCTCAGTAAATAAGGGAGCAGCCAAAACTACCTTCTTCTCTTCTTTGTTCGATTTAGTTTATCAAATAAATCCACAAATTGCAACTACAGTATATCACAAGTTGCACTGTGTTTAATTACTGTCATGCTCTGGCGCCTAACTGGTTGAAGTTAATTGGAAAGTGGCAACTCATTTTTGTGAGGAGCCTTCGCTGCTTAAAACACTCTGATATGAAATCCAATTTTGTGACTTAACATGAGGCTGACCCCACTAAGCTATTCCACCTGGGAGAGAAGAGTTTGCCTTTGGGCATGTTGTAATGAATCAAGTCATCAGGACGTTGTATCTGTTGCTGGCTTCGCTTTAGAATGAATTTGCGAAGATGCGTTCAATAATGAAACTGATCCCTAAGTTGGAGGTGAAATTGCACGCAGGGTGGAAATTGCCTTTTATGACAATCCAAGGGCACAGCAAAGCGAACTTCTTACAAACAGCTTAAATCTCAAAAACAAATGTTAAAAATGTGCCACAAATTTGTGTTATTTAAATAATTCATAAATGAAGAACTGAAGAAGAAAGTTATTTTGCTGAGCTCAACTAAGAGAAATGACAATTCCAATGCATGAATTTCTGGAGTGCTCATTCAATATTTATACTTGGCATACTCCACCAACCCATATAGATGAAAAATAATTTCATGAGTGGAGGGACAGGCCTTAAATTAGGTCTACAGCTGAGACTGGAGTGACATATCTGACAGGTTACGCTGTGAGCTGGTGGTGCTCAGTGCAGCTCGACTGTTGCAAAGAAGCTGCAGCCAACCTGATACTGTATCTCATATAACTGAAGCAATGATCGGCTAAGCTGGAATGAAAACAGGAAGCTTTGGTCTCACTGATGAATTTCTTAAAAAGCAAGAGAGAAAGCAATGGGAGAGAGAAATACGGATGTAGATTAGGAGAAAATATTTTATGCTTACTTTATTTTTGTCAACTTTTGCAAGGACTTTGATGAGGGCAATCAAGTTCACGTTTGTTTCTTCCTCAAGAAATACAATCCACGAAGAGTTTTTCCCAAAGGAATGTGATAAGCTGAGGACACACACGCAGGCAGAAATATATAGAGTTAAATAATAAAAACATTTCACTTCAGTCTACTCTGAGGAGATATCTGAGGCTGAGGCTCCTGACCCAGTCAGATCAAAGCAGTCACAACATTTCCCCAGAGGACAGAAAGACAAAAAAAACAACACAAGCGCACAGTTCTTTCAGGGAGGAAAGCCTTTCTATATAATGGTCTGGGAATATTCTATGCTACAAGTCTATGCCATGGATGATGAGGACACATTTAGATGCTGTTACACACCTCCCTAAAATAATCATAAGACATATTTTTGATTTTTTAAAAAGGCTCAGGCATCCAGACAACTGAAGCTAATGCCTTTATCATGCTGTTCATACCGCTGAATACCTGTTGTCACACCTACATGCACATTAAGAAGGTATTTATCATAAAACGAAGCAATAAATCACCGTTACTGTGTTAGTAATGGCTTTTGCACAAAT